AAGGCTCGCGGTTCGAGGCCTCCAGCTCTCTGCAGGAGAAGGATGGGCAATATCCTCCTCTGAAAACCCACTGGAGGGTCAGCTATGGGTCAGTTCCAACTTGATGGTACACAACAACAACAACATCATTACACAAAAGCTAAGCCCCAAACTCCTTTGCGAGGTAGTAAAAAGCTCTGAGCCTGGACACTGGGTTACCTCTATTCTCATTTCCCAGTATTCTCCCTCACATCCCCTGCTATCTACCTTTCCCTGGTCATTCCGGGCGGCCTGCACCTCTTTTCTGTGGGACACATACTCCTCGTGCTCCAGCACGCCCTCTGCACATCCCCACCCCACCGACACACTCTCCCCCACCTCTTTAAACGCCCCACTCAGACATCATCGGTGCCTCTGACTCGGCTTCACCTACAGACACGGACTCGCCGCCCAGCACCTACGCCGCCTTCCCTCTAAGGGGCTGGGAGGCCCGTCCCGACACCAGCAGATGCTGTCTGTGATGTGCCTCTGTGGTCATTACAATGCACACATCAAGCACCATACCGAACAAGACAGAGTTTGCCGAGTGTCTGAATGAATGAATAAAATGTCTCACTTCAAGAAGTGCTAAAAAATACCGCTGCTGACAAAAAAAAGTGCTAAAATGTACTGTCTCGGGGAGGGCACCCAGGGAAGTCAGTCTGGAGACAGCCTGAGCATCGCTGGTTCTCCACTAGGTCTACGCGGTCCTTCCTCTCTGCTGCTGCCTGCAGACCTGAGAGGGACCAGGAACCATACCACCTGTGTAACTGTGAACACACACATGTGCACGCACACACACTCAAGGCGTCTGCCCCAGAACACTTACAATCTAGAGGAAGCTGTGTACCAACAGCATGGTACCAACTCCCAGCCGCCACTTCTTTCTCCCATTCTCCCAAGAAGCATAACATAACATATGGACAGTAACATATTCTCACAAACTTAACAAATGTCCTGAAGGAGACGTGCATGGTGCAGGAGGTCGAAGATGGAGGAAATGGCTAGGTGGGCGGAAAAGCATACCGCGACCTGGAAGCCAAGCTCTGAAGTGAAGAGTTCATCAAACAGCAAAGAAGAACAGAGAGGAGGAGAGAGATGGGCACAGAGCTGCAACGCCGAGCCAGGGGCGGTGTGGGCACGGGGTGGTGCCAAGTGCGAAGGCGGGAGGCTGGCTGAAGCAGTGCGGGGTGTTTCCCACTCCAGGAGAGATCACTGGAAAGGAGGCTTAGTTGGGAATGTTTCTCTGGCTACAGCATTTCTGAAAGGACCAGGGTGATGCAGGCAGACTCGTCCAGAAGTCAATGCCATCCCTCTGTTAATGTGCCGTCTTGGGCCTCTCCACACGTTTGCTGGTTTTAATGAGGCTTCTCCTCTATTTTCCTCCGCGGACAAAAGTGAATAAAACATTTGCTAAGTAGTAAATTTCAGAAGCAGAGTCCCTTCGGCCCTGGGTGCCACAAACAGTTCAGGGTGCAGCTACCAACAAAAAGACCGAAAGGGAGAACCCACGTGGAGCTGCCTCAGAAAAAAAGGCTGGTTACCTGCCTGTGAAAAGCCACAGCCTTGAAAAGCCTACGGGGCAGTGAGCTCTGCACCCACACACAGATTCCAACAGCTAGAATCACCTCAACGACAACTACGACAGCAATTCCCTGGAGAGGCTTTCAGGGAGGCTACTGTTTTGAGGGAGGAAGAATCTGTTCTACAGAATCCAGGTGCAGGCTATCCAAGTCCTCACGATTCCACATTAAGGATTTCTCAAAGACACAGAAGACAGAGGTTCCTGGGGCCTCAGTGGAGACAGAACCGGAATGCTAGTTTAACTCAGGTGGAAAACATGCAGTGTTTATAGAAGCATGTAACATTTTTTTTAGCATGTAACTTTTGAGTCCTCATAGTCGACATTCCTGAACTTTTCTTCATTTAATACTAAGTATTACAGTTGGAAAGTGATCTGTTAACTTGAATAAACGGTATCCCTCCTAAGAGGTCTGTGTAGTGTTTGATGGCCTCACGTCTCTTTTACATCGCTTCAATCTTTCAATGCCCCCCCGCCCCCGGCCCTGCTGTTGTCTTCAGGGATCGCCAAGCACGTCGCCAACTCTGGGCCTTTACAGCCACTACCCCCTTGCCAAATGACCACCTACTCGTCCTGCAGTGTCCCGCTCAAATGCTGCCTTCTCTGGAGAGCTCCCCCCAACTCCCACAGCTGCCCCGGTGTTTCCATAGCAATGTGGTGACATTCTTATTTCCACACTGCACTGTGGGTGCGATGTCTGTGTATGCCCCAGTTTCCCACTGCATCATGAGAGCATGAACTGGGCCTTCCTTATCCACAGAGCTGAGGCCAGTGCCTGGCCTGACAGGCTAAGTAAGTAAATCAGTCAGTAAAGAAGATAAAGAAGAAAAATGCCCTCCTCCCCACACACGGCTTCTGCAGCACACCACTTTCCCCCGTGAATACTTGTGGTTAGAAAGGAAGGACTGTTCATAAGGTTAGCAAATAGAAACGGGTGCTTGGATAAAGAACACGCCTCGTCTCTCTCTGCTTGGGTAAATAGCACCTTTACACTCTTCAGGGAGCTCTGGTGGCCCAGTGATTAGAAGCTGTGCTGCCAGCTCAACGGTGATGGTTCAAATCCACCAGTCGCTCTGCAAGAGAAAGACAATCCCCTCTCACACCATTAAACTGCCTCTGAAAACCTGATGGTGGGTCAACTACGAGTCAGTTCTGACTTGACAGGACACAACAACAACAACTATGTTCTTCTGCGAGCCCTGGTGGAGCAGCAGGTTGAAACACTCAGGTGCTAATCAAGGGGGTGGGGGGGTTGGACCCGGCAGCCACTGTGCAGGAGAACGGTGGGGACCCAGGTCTGTCATGGTTTCCAGTGAGGGGACCCTGTGGGGCCGCGCTGCTCCGTCCTACACGCTGCTATGAGCTGGAACTGACTCGATGGCAGCGAGGGTTGGCCTTAGGTCTATTTTACTTTTTTGATCAGGGGAATTTTTCAATAGGGAGAGTTTCCTAGAAGTTAATCCTCTCTCATCAATTACAGACCTGGACATACTGACGCTTTTATCCTGCATGACTACTGAGATTCTCTTTTAGGTAAACAAGAAAACAGAGGCATCTGTAAGTGTTAAAATCCTCTAAGTTATTTTTAGCATAATGGAAAAAGTTCCTTACTTGTGTTATCAGAGAGGGTGATTTAAATGTGGATATTTACATGTGCAGGGACCAGCATGAACTTCGTGGTGACTTGGGATGGGGCGGGGAAGGCAAGGAGCTGGGGGCTCATTTCTGTTGTCCTCTGAGGACGGCCTGCCCTGTGTCTACAGGACGATGTTCGCAAATACTAGCAGCTGCTGCTCTGACCTCACTCTGCGACAATCTACCCACTATGTCTTATAAATTAACAACTCCCCTTTCCACACAAATATCTGGCAGATTAACAGAAGGAGTGAGGTGGCTTTTAGACAAGGTCTTTCACACAGAGTTCCCAGGTCACAGCCGTGTGTAGCCTGGGACGAGTGGACTGCTAGCTGTGGTAGAGTGGGTTCCTACGACAGCGATCTCTGGGACAACTGGAGGAACCGGGACGTGGTGGTCAGCGGTGCCGGTGCAAACCCACTGCTGCAGACCACCACACATGCTCTGCACTTTCCAGGGGGAGGGTTTCCACCTCCAGCACTAACCCGACGATATTATGTCATTACACGAGCAATACTGTGTCGTGAGATACGGGGCTTCCGTTTTCAGAAGTAGATTGCTACGTCTTTATTCCTGGCTGCTTTCACCTGGAAGCTCCCTGGATACCTGTCCATCTGGGTGGCTCTTCCGGTAAGGCTCTGAGCTGCTAACGGAAAATGTGGAGTTTTGTGTCTAATCTGAGGAACCATGAAAGAGAGGCCTGGAGATTCTTAAAAATCAGAAACCCCTCTGGGTTCAGGATATGCGCACTCTCGCTCTCTCTCTCTCACACACACACACACACACGGTCGGGATGTGTGCTCTCTCTCACATACACTCACACACACACACACACACACACACACACAGAGAGTGACCAAGAGCTGATGTCAACGAAGTAGCACCTGGTCTCTACGAGCTGGGTCTTTACGAGCAGGTTCTCTACGAGGTGGGTCTCTACGAGGTGGGTCTCTACGAGCTGGGTCTCTACAAGGTGGGTCTCTACGAGCTGGGTCTCTATGAGGTGGGTCTCTATGAGGTGGGTCTCTATGAGGTGGGTCTCTATGAGGAGGGTCTCTACGAGCTGGGTTTCCATTTTTAATTTCAGGATGCGGAGAAGTTGGAAAGACTACTCGATCGCTCACAACCTTGTAAAAAGAAAATCAAAGTATGCTAGCAGGGGGTTCACTAGCTGGGCCTCTGCACTGTATCCCCTCTGCTCCTCACCCTGCCCCCCCCACTGCTATGAGGTCACTGCGGCCTCGTGGGGTCCCTCCACCAGGCTGCTGCACCTGCTAATTCTCATGGAACAACCTGCTCATCTGTCCCCCCTGGAGCAGCTGGTGGATTTGAACTTCCGGCCCTCAACCAGATTCATGACATACAGTAAGGGGTGAAAGACCATTATCAAGTCAACTCCCTGGTAATAACCATGGAGGGGGCAAAATATCTGCGAGGGAGAAAAAGTCAGCATAAACTTTACAGATTCATAAACTTTACAGATTCATGCACAAAAAAACAGCCACACTCACTGACCTCACACTTAACAGGTTTCTTCCAGGTTCTCTGATGAAAGCAACACTTACTAAAGAGGAATTCTGTACTTTCTAGTGGACCTTTATAGGCTGATAGATTTGGGGTTTTAAAAAAAAAAAACACAAAAAACTTAAAAATTGCTTTGAATGTAGAAACCAGAAAATAAATCCCATGTTTCTACATGTACTGACAAAGGAAGTCTCTCTCTAAACAGAACAAAAGCTTAGAGCACAATTGTGTTTTAAATTACCATGTTCCAGTCGGTCTCCACTTTTCTGAACACGGACTCCATTTTCCACACACCATTCTCCCACCCAGAAATGGTCTGATTGTTGTCCGACACGCGGACGTAGCTGTCGTCCACAACGTTGTAGCAAAGGTGGAGCTCTTTAGAAATCATCTCGTTTTCAGAGGGGATGAACAGCGTCTCGTTCGCCTTAAAGAGGAAAATACAGTTCTGTTCTTAACGGAGCAGATGCAAAACAAACAAAATCAGGTATCTTTATGTACAGTGGGAGGAGACTCAACTGTTAAAAATATGAAGACTTAAGAAATGGAGATTTTTAAACTGAAAAAGGAAAAAAGCCTGTGCCATCGGACAATTCTGGGAGTATTTCTAATTTAGCATAATCAGTGTGATGCTAAAAAAAACGAACCCCAAACAACAACCAACTCAAGACAAAACAGGAAATAAAACTCTTTGACTCTGATTTGATTTACACGTTAGGATGTTCTGTTAACTTGCATCTATGTCTTCCTCACTCCCACCGCCACCACCTTCTAAGATGTGGACTACTGTAACTGCTCTTCAACCTGAGTCCCAGCTCTCCACTTCACCTCTCCTGGCCATTCTCTGCACAGAAATGAAGATGATGAGAAAAACAATCACTTCCTCTCTAGCACACTCCACTGACTTCCACTGTACTTGAACTCCAAACTCCTGGCCATGTCTGATGAGCCCATGTGCCCGGCCCCGCCTGTCTCTCAGCCAGATCTCTTCGGCCTCCTCCTCCTCCTCTCGTCTCCATGCTCCAGCCACAAGCTTCGCCCCCTCCGCAGTCCCTCACATCAGCCCAGCTCCTTCCTGTCCTATCTGGAATGCTATTCTTTCCACTCATCATCTATGTGTTTCTCACCATTCAGACCCCGACCTAAAACCCATTCACCAGTGATCTTTCCTGAAACCTTAAGTCAGAAGAGCGTCCGGGAGGAATAGCTTGAGATAATTTTGTGCAGGTATGAAATGACGACAGAAGCTCATCCTTTATCTTAAAAATTCAGGCAAACACTCTAGGGGATTAATATACCTTCTTGCTTCCTGAAATCTCAGAATGAACGTAAGGTCTGAGAAGGATGTGGTATTTATCCTTTATTTATGTGCCATTTACACAAAACATGTTCCTCCTCTTTAACGACAGACAAGAGTAGCCCCGAGTAGGAAACTTGGCTGGACATCAGGTCTTCTCATCTCCTGCATTTTACTGATATTTTTGGGCCAGAGAAGTCACCGCGAGGGGAGGTCTGGCAGCCTGGCCGGTAGGGAGGTGTGCTGCTAATCCAAAGATTAATCCTCTGGCTGTTCGAATCCACCCGCCGCCCTGAGGGAGGAAGACGGGCACCCTCCTGCGTGATTTACAGCCTCAGAGCTCAGTGCCAGTCAGCTGGGAGCTAGCTCTGACTGAGAGGTGATGAGCTCGAGGGTGAGATGATGTCACGGTGGTGAAGGGTGGTCCTGTGCACGCAGGAGACACAGCAGCAGCTTCGGCCTCGACCGACCAGAGGCCAGTGGGGTCTTTGACCTCCTTCCTCAATGTCCCCAGGTCTGACAATTTACCATGTCCCCGCAACTGCCAAGTCCTCTGAGGAGCAAAGTGACGCACCAGTAAGAGCCACTGTCTGGACTGTGTCTACATCTTGCTGTAAGACGTACTAACCACTCAGGACACTGCTACATAGCTGGACCGTCCCACAGAGGACCCTCCAGCGGGTTTTCAGAGGCAGTAAATCGCAGAGGACGAGACTGTTCATCCTTCTGTGAGCAGCCGGTGAATTCGAACCACGTGCCTTCAGGCTGGCGACGTGACTCCTTACCCGTTAGGCAATTTTTTGTGTGTGGGAGTAGTGAAAACAGCATAAAAACTCCAAAGCATAATAATCACCAGTGTATAAAAATTTCAGAAATGAGAAAAGTACTTATATGCATTACCATCAGCGTTTTAAAACAGTACCACCAAACGCGGAGTAAGATGGATGAATGCTGTGACTCAACAGTGGGCGTGCGTCTGTTGGTTGACTGTGTGGATGGTACAGCACCGGGTGAGGTGTGGATCTGGTCCTGGTGTCACCACGAGTCACAGCAGACTCAACACCACAAAACAACAACAAATACTTTAGAAAGGAGAACTCGCTACCAAAGAGCAAAGGGGGGAAAAGGGATGTTACTGGACATAAATGACAGGTATACAATTGAATGAAGCAAAGTGGGGTTAGTATTATATTATTAAATGTTTTCAATCTAAGATGAATGGCATTTTTTTTCCATTCTGGAAATGATACCATCTATGTTACCGTCTTTTCCAACTGATTGCATGGTGTGGTTCCAGAAAGTTTTAAGATCGATATTTTTTTCAATTTACTTTTTAAATAAACACTCATTTATAACGGGGGGGCAGGGAGGGAGAATGACTGCTCTTCTAATTCGTGGTCTTAATGTTGTCCCTAGTAATTGAGAAATTGAAAATTTTTTTCAATGCAGAAAACAATCTGCACACATGACCCAATTTATATTTTTAAAGTTTAATCAACTTCCATGCTGTGCAAGAGGAAGCAAAAGCAGCCACACAAAGAAAAAGAAATGAAGCCCTAAATACTACCCGTGTTTTAAATTGAAAACAGCTGTGAATTAAATTAGCTCTTTGAAAGTGGCTTCATTTAGATTTATACTTGTAACTTGCAAGGCATCAGCAAGGATTTATTTGTTGACTTTAGACCTTGTAATTCTGTGACCAAGCCAACACTTGCAACTGCACCCTACAGATGATGGAATAAATTTAAAAGCAAAAATAAAATTGACGAGGGTATTGGACTAGAGCAGTAACCTTGACAATGCCATCTTTAGAAATGTTGTTGTTGTTATGTGCCGTCGAGTCGTTTGCGACTCATAGGGACCATATGTACAAAGGAGATTTAAAAGTCTAACCTGCTTGGAGTTCTCGAATACTAACATTATGATGGCTTATTGTCCCTTCAAACATTTTTCTCTCCAGGTACTTTCTAGTGAGTCAAATTCAAGCTCACTAAAGGCAAGGGATATAGCTGGTACTTTCTTAACATCTACTGTAGAACCTACTACGATGTGTTACAACAATAACTATAGGACTTAACTACACAAATTTTACTTCCATTGCTCATTTACAACAGCAATCACTCCAACAACAATCTCAGATGTATGCAAACACCTATCAGGAAAAATATGCTATTATCAGTTTAACTAGCCAAATGTCACATTTCCCTCGCTATTTTTATATGAACAAAAAGGTGGGGGGGCGAAGTGTTGGTCATCACAAGGCCACAAGGCTCTTTTAAATGCATTAAAATCTCATTTTAAAATACTTAACAGGACTTTTTTTAAAAAAATAGGCTATTTTTTAATTTTTTTAAAAAATTTTATTATTTTGTGTGTGTACTGTCACATCGGATCTGACTGGTACAGGAGGAGACTGTCCCTCCTTCTCCAGCAGAACATCTGGTGGATTCGAACTGAGCACCTCTGGGACTGCAGTGCAGCTTCTTGCCACTAGGCCACCAGAGCTCCCCAAAAAGCAATTTTTAAGAGAGAAATCCAACATTAAAGAACAGGACTCAACTTCATTAGTGACTAGCAAAATGAAAACTAAAATGGTAAGAAAATGTGACTCCACACCTCTGAAAGGCTTAAGGGAAGATGGTAAAATAGCAAGGTTAGACAAAGATAGGCTGTAAAGGAATCTCATTTACTCCTGGTGAGACTGTAAATCAGGACATCTCTTAGGAAAAGTGCTTGGCTGTTATTGGCTAAAGCTGAGCACAGCTGTACTCTAAAACCTGGCCATTTCACTCCTAGGTATACACCCCGTACACACCCTGAAAGTGTGTATATGAAAGTTTGTAGCAGCACATTTATAACAGGGCAACTCTAAAAACAACCCAAAGATCCATAAACAGGGGAGTGGAGAAATCAATGATGTCAGTGACTTTAACACAGTGTTATTATGCCATCATGTGTTCGCACCAAGGAATGTTATTCACCATTGTTTATGCATGCTCAACAGACACGCAACAAAACATGTGGATCTCATTACATAACACAGAATGGCAGAAGCCATACACATGGAGTATGTGTGATTTCTTTTATATAAGACAATAGAGATTTCTTGTTACCTTGTTTTATAACTTTTTGTAAGTCAGGAAAACAGTTACTCTTAGAAACAGAAAATCTCAGTGATTAGAATTCACACTTATTTCTGGTTTAGTAAACTTCTCATTTTCTTTTGCTTTTGAGTTCTATTTCTTATTCTAATGGAGCGCTGGTGGCCTTGTGGATAAAGAGTTGTGCTGCCAACTCAAAGGCAAGCAGTTCAAATCTACCAGCTGCTCCATGGGATAAAGACAGGCAGACTCCATGTAAAGTCTCTGAAAACCCGCTGCAGGGGCAGCTAGGAGTTGGTTCCAAAGCAGTGGCAATGAGTTTGTTGTTTCTTTCTTATCCTACCTGGTGGTTATACAAGTGCTCAACCTGTCGAAATTCATTCAGCGGAACATTTATGAACTGGGCACATCTCTGTTCACATTAAAGGTTATACTGCAGTAAATATTTACAGAACGTAACAAACAGAAAAATCTTACTTTAAAACACTTTACTAACTCATGTATATGAACTACTATGTCAAACCATTATTAGTGCTCTGCAAATGTTTGTCTTTTTAGTGGCAAGGTTAACTGAAAGGCTTTCAAACAGGAAAGTGAAAAGAACATCCCAATGTAACGGGTTAAATACCTCTAGTCCGATTTCCCCGCGGGCTACTCTCCAGGCCACAGATCCCGACACCCTTCCGCCCAGTTCTCCAGGCTTCGGGGTTTTAGGAGATATGAATTCAACGAGCTCCACGATTACCCTCTGAAGCAGCTCTTTCCTTCGGCTTTCAGACAAAGACAGTTGCCTCTGTAATTTATGTTAGAAAGACAAAGTGTTAAGAGTAGGAGAATGCGGAGTCCTGTTTCTGACCAAGAATATATGAAGAACATCTCCACTTTAAGAGGATATGGAAAGAAGTAATCAGCGGTATTCTCGTATGTACTTTTGAGTTGAATACGACTCTTAACAACCCTCTGAACAGGAGATCTGAATCCTGTCCTAAGCTGTGCCATCCTCACAATCTCTGACACATTCAAGCTGATTGCTGCAGTCACTGTGTCAAACCACCTTGTAGAGAATCTTCTTGTCTTTCACCTTCCCTCCACCTTCCCAAGCATGATGTCCTTCTCTAAAAAAAAAAAAAGCCTCTCCTAGCAACATGCCCCAAGTATATAAAATGAAGCTTTACCATCTTTGCCTTAAGGACCACTCTGGCTGCACCTTCTTCAAGATATACCTGTGTTTGTTCTTTTGGGAGTTCATGGAATATTAAGTATTATTCTCCAACAACATAATTCAAAGGCCCTCTAAATTACGGAGGAGCAATGATGTCAGTTTGAGGATTAAGGTGTGCCTGATTCAGGCCATAGATCTTTTTTTCATGGTCTTTTCTCATGCACTGAGAGCTGGTCAATGACTAAGGATGACAGAAGAACCGATGCCTTTGAACTTTTGTGTTGGAGAAGAGGAATGATGCATTTTGTCAGGAAAAGCAAAAAGACATGGTGGAAAGTTTAAAACCAACTGACACATTTTACTTGTTGTTATGTGCCATCGAGTC